GTAGCGTATGAGAACTATCTCTAAATAATAGCTGCTGTTCTTATGGTCCCTCTTCCTGCGTCTCATAGGCTAGTCCAAATATTTTTGTTTTTTTTCCAATAAAAGTTTTTAGAAAATTTTGGTCCAAGTGATCGTCGGAAAGAGTTGATAATAACCAATATTTTTAAAAATATTATTTATTATTTTTAAATAGTTTTTTAAAAACTACTAATCTAAATTAACTAAAATTTTAATATATTGTTACTCAATATAAGGCTATATAAAGTTAATTTTGAGTTTTTATAATATAAAATTTGAAAATAATCTGACAACTTGGCTTTTAATTTTATTTTTAAAAAATATATATATATAAAACATATATAAAAATTTTTATAAACTTCTAAAAAAAAACTTTATCCAAATAGTAAATATAATCAAAATTTTTTTAAAAAATTTTGCAAAATTTGATCTGATCAGGTAATAAAAACCACTTTATTAAGTTTGTATAACCTTATATTTATTTTTAATAAAATTTTAGCTAATTTTGATTTGATAATTGTAAAAAAAATCAAAACCTAATATAGAATTTTTGTTTAATAAAACCTCTATAGTTACAAAATAATATTTTTTAATATAAATTTTATATTAATCGCACCTTTATATAATTACTATATTTTGTATTCAAAAGATATAACTGTAGAGAGGTTTGACTATATATAATAAAATTAGATTATTTGAAAGATATTTACAAATTTTATAAACAAAATTTTATTATTTTTATAAATAAATAATCAAAATTTAAATTTTTTTAAGAAGTTTAATTTTTTGATTTAACTTAGACCCGCGATAATTATAAAGCCATTTTTTTAAAATATAATAAGTTATACAACGTTTAATTATTGTTATAGCTGATGCTAAAATTGGGGTCTTGATTTTAAAAAATAAACCTTGCTAAAATCCACATATACTGAAATTCTAACCCCAAATCTGGTTCTAAAAAAAAATAAAAAACACCCAAAAATTTTTAAAATTTAATATCAAAAAATATATATAGATACAATTTTTAGCATCAGCCGTAACAATAATTATGCGATTTTTATAGTATTATACTATGTGTATTTATTATACTACCTTCGGAAGACTTTCGTATGATTGGCTGTTTAAAGCAATTTAATTTTACATTATTTATACAGTTTAAAGTACTTATTAAAAAAAATAAAACTACTAAGAATAAATAAAAAAGAAGCATATAAAAAGTTTTATAATGGTTGTAGGACTCAACTATTAAAAATAATCAAAATCATTCTGGTTTTAGAGAAGTTAGCATAATAGCGACTTCTTAAAGATAGATAGAATGTTATTACCATGCTAACTTCTCTAAAATCAGAAATGATTTTAATATTGGAGTCCTACAACCCTAATAAAGCTTTCTATATACTTTTTTTTGTTTATTCTTCGTAGTTTTATTTTTTTTAAAAAGTAAAATTAAATTGATTTAAACAGCCAATCATACGAAAATCTTCCTATGGCCTTCGGAATCATTCCAAAAAATTGCCTCAACCCTGCTCGTCTTTAAAGTTCATTTACTTATATATCGAAACTTTTCGGAATTTCTCTCCCACACTAACTATCGCAATCATATGTATGCGATGCTAAAAAATGGTCAATTATGTCAAGTTTATTTAGTGATCATGTTTTCCTTATCGTTATAGTGCAACAGAAGAACCGATATAGTAAGCTCACGCTTGGCATGGGAACAAACATTTGCTTAATAAGTTCATAGAATGTCTTATCGTTATCGTTACGCACAAAAAATAAATCGATAACAATTTTTTGTTGGATTTGTAATTATAACCATAATTATTAACGTAATCGTTTTCCAGATTTTACGCGATATCTGATACATCGAGGTTTTGGTATATGGAAAATATGTAATGTATAATTAATAAAATATGTATAGTAGAAATTAAGATAGAATATATAGCTCATAAAAGAAATTCCTTAAAAGGATTTTACCGGTACCTACGTATAACCTATACTGACCCTAACATGAAATAGAACTCACTCTAACTCTATTATTAAAAAGAGATTACATATAAAAAATAAATGTTATAAGTTTTGCTAATCATATTTCGTAAATTTGTTTTAGCTTACATCTATACAAACAGCTGTATACATTACTTACATACAACTTTATACAATACATATTTCTGTAATACCTAGGTTTCGATATTAATTCATGATAGATCGTAGAAATTCATAAATCTTTTGTCGAGATGCACGATGATATTTGACGCTAAGATTCGATTCGAACAAGATTTAATGCATAATGTAATTGTCAGCCCTTCAAAGCTGAATCAATTTCATAGTTCGAACCATTTTAGGCCTATATTTATAAATTATTTTGGGAAATGGAAAACGGAAATATCGATATATCAAATTTTAATTTGCATGCGCGTGCTTAAGTACGTACGTACGTACCGGTGATACTTGCATACGGACGGGCACGAGTGAGTACGTACGTGCGTGCATATCAGATATACGCACGTACGTACGTAACTTTTATTACATATCTGATATTGATATGGAGCCAGCAAGAAATCTAGAAAATCACAATCTCCCCCTAAACATACGTACGTACGTACGTACAAACAAGTAGCACATTGAAATCAAATCTTTCCTAAATTATTAAGTGTATACGTAAATACTTTATTGGAGTCGATAATTTAAGAAATATTTGGTTTCAACGTAGCGGCAGTGTTTGATTAAACAATACATATAAGGAAGCTGTAGTTCTTTCCTGCAATGTACGTACGTTGCCAAAAAAGTCTACAATTATCTTCTTGCCTTTTTTTTTTTTAATAGAAATTCTCAATCTATAGCGATAGGGTACAAAATAAATTGTTTTTCATTTAACATTGGAATATTGGAAAGCTTCTATTAGATCCGTAATTTAATTAGAGTTATGTAAATTTTAATTTAAGGTTCCTCGACGTATCGTACGTATGTATGTACAGTATGTATGTACGTACGTAAATACGAACATGACGACAGCTAATCGTTCCAAAAATTTGTGGATCTACGTTACACTATTAATACTATCTAAAAATTCGAGATCTTCCACACTTTACTATATAACAAACTCTCTCTCTTTAAAATTCTGCAAAAACTTCAAAAAAAAAAAAAAAAAACCCATAATGTCGATAGTATCATATCTATTTCAATCAATATTTCATCCTTCCGAAATTACAGCTCTTGTCCAATTTAAATTTTTCAAGCCTAAACCCATACTAGAAATTAAACCCGAAAACAGGCAAAAGATACGTTGTTATGAGTTTCTGGATAAAACTTCTCGTTCGTTTGCTGCTGTAATTAAAGAGCTGGATGATGATGTGAGAGATGCTGTAAGCATTCCTTATTTCCTATCTTTTTAAATTTGGATTGAATTCTTATCATTTAATTTAATTTAATTTAATTTAATTTAATTTAATTTAATTTAATCTAATTTAATTTAGATTTGTATTTTTTATCTCGTCCTTCGTGGTCTTGATACCATCGAAGACGACATGACAATTCCTATTGAAAAGAAAGAGCTTCTATTAAGGTCTTTTCATGAAACTATTTTTCAAAAAGGATGGACTTTCACAGAAAGTTAGTTTCGATTATTTTATTTTTGAAATTAGATATTCTCTTACTTGCTTATTGATTGTTTTTTTCTTTTTTTTATGTTTCAGGTGGTCCCCTTGAAAAAGATCGTCATTTACTCGTAGAATTTAATGTTGTGATTGATGAATTTTTGTCTCTGAGAAATGAGTATGTAAATTTTTTCTTATTTTATTTCGGTGTTACGTAAAATCATATGATAATATTTTCCTTCGTGTAACTAGGTTTCGTGATATTATCGCTGATATAGCTAATAAAATGGGAAATGGTATGGCTGACTATGCAAAAGATGCTGTGCATAACACATATGGGGTTAAGACCCTTAAAGATTTTGATGAGTATTGTTATTATGTTGCCGGCTTAGTTGGTGTTGGCCTTACCCGTTTATTTGCTGAAAGTGGACTGGAAAGTTCCGAACTTGTAAAAGATACTGAGTTGTGAGTGTTTTACTTATACTTTTCTTTACATTCATTTATTTATTAATAATTCAAATTTTAACCATTTTATGGTTTATGGTTTTTAGGTCAATTCATATGGGTTTGTTTTTACAAAAAACGAACATAATTCGTGATTATTTGGAAGATCTTCTTGATGGACGTAAATTTTGGCCACAAGTTATTTGGTCAAATTATGTTAAAGATTTTTCTGATCTTAAAGAACCTGGTTATAAAACTCAGGCTCTTGATTGTCTTTCATCCATCATTCTCAATACCCTTCACCATGCTCCTGAATGCTTAACTTATATGAATAAGCTTCAAAATAAATCTATTTTCAGTTTTTGTGCCATCCCACAAGTAATGGCAATTGCAACTTTGGCATTAATGTTTAGAAATTATGATACATTACAAAAAGTTGTTAAAATTAGAAGGGGAGAATCTGTTAAGGTAACTTGTTGAAAGAAAAACTTTTTAATAAAACAGTTGAACATTAACATTACTTTTTTTTTTTTTTGATCATAGTTAATGTTAAAATGCACAAGTATTCATGAGGTTGCAAGTATCTTTCAAGAGTATACTAGAGTAATCATCCGTAAAAATGATCCTAGAGACCCTAATTTTATGAAGATTAGTGTTGCTTGCGGGAAGGTAATAAATATCTTTACTCTTAATAAATGCTTTAAAAAAAATGTTTCTGAATCTTAAATTATTATCAATTTTAATTATCAAAAGATTGAACGATGGTGTGCTACCAATCTTCCAGCTACGAAAGTTCATAAATTACCATATTCTAAAAATGATTGGTTGTTCAATTCGGAAAATGAATTATTAGTATTTGTTGGTTTTAGTTTATTTGCATTCATAGCTTATCTATTATGTTTTTATAATTGGGAACATTTTCGTTATGATGGATTCGAAATCTTAAAGGATCAAATTTAGGATTAAATTTAGTATAAGGGACACCTATTACATATCAATTGATTAATAATTTTATTAATAATGCCCCTTATATTAAATTTGAAACTTTTTTGATGCTTAATATTTTAAATATCAGTACATGATTTTTTAACATTAGTTGTCACATGATTTCATTGTAATTTAAGGTATCTGGTATTATAAGACTATAAATCTAACATATTATAGTTATTACATGGGTATGTATTGAATAACCGTGGCCGAAGGCCACGGGTTATTCACATATCCATACAATAACTACATCATTTCACGGTGTCTGACATACAATCCCGTGCAATAATCAAATGAAAAAGCACGGGTTGTTGCATAACCCGTGCAATAATGTATTTATATTGCCATGTAATTTTTTTAAAAAAAAATATGATTAAAAATTATGTTTGTCTGATAATGTTTTATTTTATTTCTTTGGATTTCCAAGTTCCACTTTTTCCTCCCGTTTTTTCTAAAAGTTTTATATTCTCAATTACCATATCTTTACTTACAGATTTACACATATCAAACACTGTTAATGCTGCAATACTAACTGCAGTTAATGCTTCCATTTCTACTCCAGTCCTACCCTCACATTCTACTTTTGCTATAATTTCAATTGAATGATCTTGTTCTAACTTCAAATCAACTGATACATGTGAAAGCAATAAGCTATGACATAAAGGGATTAGATATCCTGTTTGTTTTGCGGCATTAATTCCTGCTATCTGTGAAACTGTAAATACGTCGCCTTTTTTCATAAGATTTGCTTGTATCAAATCAAATGCTTCGCGACCAATACGTATTTTTCCACTCGCTGTCGCGGTACGAATGGTTGGGGTCTTAATAGATACGTTTACCATCGAAGCACGTCCACTCGAAGGATCGACATGAGAGAGCGTAGGGGCGTCGGAAATTGTTGTATTTTGTGACATGTGTGAACATTCTGATTTTTTGTTTTTTGACGAGAAAGCACGGGATTGAAAGAAATATGAAGGAATCCCATGATTGAAGGGAATAAAAGTTTTGTCGATTTTGTAAAGACAATGTGATGTTGTGGGCTGAATGAACGAAATTATGGAATGCTTCCTTTTATACCAAGATATCTTTGCAGAAACTAACTGTTCGATACGGTCTGTGTAATTGATTGAATAACAAAAATGTGGTAAGTATCTATTCAATTAACTAACTATTCATTCTGCATATATAAGTTTTTAATATTGTGAGCTTCTGGATTATAAATAGCATTAAACATGCTATTTTATCTTTTTACAGACTTCCATATTTGATATTAAAATATTCCGGAATCTAATACGCTACATAAAATACATGACATCACTAACCTGCATCCAGTCAATTACATAATTTTTCATCCACCAATAAGTATCATCGGTCTATTTTTTGTCTCAGCCAGGGTGAACATACCTGCGTGCTGCTTCTTTTTATTTTTTACAGCTACACCAATAATTTCTAGTAGTTGTTGATCCGGTACATTCTCTCGTAATAAGTCACGCAAACTTACTTCGGCATTTCCAAATAGACACACCTATAAAAGATAACGTCATTTAGTAATTTTAAATATAAAATAAAATAAAATAAAATAAATCAAACCTTCAAGTTGCCATCAGCAGTAATTCTTAATCTGTTGCAAGTACCGCAGAAATGGTCCGTCATTGACGTAATGAACCCGAATTGACCAACATGCCCTGGTACTTGATATGCCTGTTATTGTTAAATGGTTAAAGAAATGTTTATTTTTCTAATTATGTAATTATGATAACTAACCTTTGAGGTATCATGTGCGTCATCGAGCAGTTTCATAACATCGTATTTGTTTTGAATATTATCCAAAATTTCACTATATGGAACAAGTTTTCGCTTATTCCATTTGTTACCTTATTATTATCGGAAAGAAATGTCAAAAAATTTTTCAATATACAAACTCTTTATAAATTGAACAATTGATACATACCATCAAATGGCATATACTCAATGAACCTTACATCTACAGGCTTCGTACGAGTCATCTCAATAAAATCAATTACTTCCTGATCATTTACCCCTCGTACAACCACACAATTAATTTTAAGTGGACGAAGTCCAAGTGCAATAGCTTGGTCAATTGACTCCATTACACGCTCAAGTCCTATATTCATTTAATAATATATGTTCATTAAATAGTGACAAATACAATCTTTGTATATAGGTTATAAGACATAACATGCTAAATAAACACATTAAATCTAATCACATATAATATAACATGTTAAATTTAAACACATTAAATTTAAACACATTAACGGATAAATAAATACCTTTTCGACGAGTAATCAGTTCAAACTTCAATGGATCTAGTGTATCTACACTAAGATTCAATAAATTCATCCCATTTTTGACCAGTTCAGGTAGCTTTCGCTTTAATGCTATTCCGTTAGAAGTCATGGCTAACGTCTTCAAACCATACTGCTTTAACTTTCCCAATTCACCTGTAAAGAAAGAAATACTTAGTGAATTTATATTAAACGAAATGAAAAAAAAGATAATACACTGAAATTACCAACTAAATCAACCAAATCTTTTCTTACGGTTGGTTCCCCGCCGGTCAACCTAATTTTATTAACTCCTTGAGAAACAAATAAACGTGCTAAATGTACAATCTCCTTGGTGGATAAAAGTTCGTGTGAAGGGGTCAAATCAACACCTTCTGCTGGCATACAATAGGTACCTGTATAATTGTTTCAAACACTTAGAAATATTGTACGAAAAAAATTGATATATACTAAATTAAAAATTGATATACGTACATCTTAAATTACATTTTTCCGTCAGTGAAATTCTTAAATAAGTATGTTGTCTTTCAAATTTATCTGTCAAAAAATTCCTAAAAGGACGTTCCCTTTCGATCGCAGCAATCTTTTGCTAAGTAAATGTATTTAGTATAATAATTTGAGCTAATACATACAGTATAAATAAAGTATCTAGAATACCTGTATACGGTGTTTAGGAATTTTGTAAATGGTAGATGCTTGTGCTTGACAAGAATTAGCAGTAGAAGATATACCCCTTTTCGGAAAAAGGGCCAAAATCTTAATACTTGGCACACGTCGAACAAAAAGGAAATTATTCATTTAGAAATCTAAAGCATAAAGGAATAAATTTAAACCCAATTCTTACGTTTATAAGGCTATTAATATTTGGTTTTTATCTTATCGTTATCGTTATCAAAAATATTGTTCACTCCTGATTTTGCCTATCTTTATCTGATAAGTTTATTAAAAGAAAGATCGAAAGATCTAAACTTGTACTACTTTTCAATCATTACTGCATTACAAAGAAGGTTAATTTAATTATGAAATACGGATATATATGGTTAGATAATAAAAAAATACATAATGAAAAAGAAATACAAGTTATAATTGGAAGTGTAACTTTTATGCTTCCTGTGAGGTTCGAACTCACGACCTTCAGATTATGAGACTGACGCGCTACCGACTGCGCTAAGGAAGCCGCTTATATAACAAAGAGAAAAATCTTTTTTATATTAAAAATCAGTTTTTATTTTTACTAAAGGCAATTATATATATCTAGAAATTAGAGAATTTCTATTTGTACCTATATATATGTATATGCACGGATATTATTATTTCTTAAAATTAAAACTATTTTTGGGTTCTACACTGGCGATCATAAGTAGTGCAACAAAAAAAAAATTTTAGTTAGATCGAATTATCTCATGCAATTCCGGTCGTA